GGTGCGGGGCCGCGGGGGGGGGGGGGGGCCACTGGGGAGGCCATGAGGACTGATGCCCATCCTGCTGTGCCCACATTAGGAGCCTGATGACAGTGACGAGTGGGACTTATGTGGGGAAGTGAAACCAGATGGGGTTGGTGGGGGAGGCAGGATGGAATAGGAAGGAGGGATGCAAGGATAGGGGCTGGGCCAGAGCAGGGCTGCGTGCTCCTCCCTCCGTCACCAGGGCAGAGCCCGGGTGCTGCCTGCCCCAGTCCCCTGCGGAGGCCTCGTTCCACCCAGCCACGCCCGACCCTTTCCGGCAGTCTTGGCCACCGCCCATCCTTCCGTTCGGCAGGACCCCTGGAGCAGCACCTGGGCCAGGTTCCGACGAAGGCCTGCGGCGGTAAGGGCTGCAGTGGGATCCCCAGCGGGAGGCTGGGGCGGAGGCCACTGGGGCGGAGGCCAACCGGAGGAAGACCGAGCTGCCACCGACCCGCAGATCCCTTTCCGGTCGGGTCCCCGCCAGACTGCTGGACCTCGCGGCTGGGGGTGGGGGTCAGTGGAGCACAGGGCGGGACAGAAAGGGGATCTTCCTGGCGTAGTCTGGACCTGCGGGGGCCGGGCTGCAGTGTCTCCAACGCTCGTCCTCCACACCGCCGCCCAGAACCCTGACCCTGGCCCTGACTCCATCCCCTCTCCCAGTGCGCGCCGCCCTGGAAAGAGAGAGCCCCCCGCCCCCCGGAACGCGGCGTCCTGGAGGCCAAGCCCGAACTGGGTATTTGGGACCTTAGGTCCAACAAAGCGTCCTCCAAACAATGACCGCCATCCTGCAGCGGCCAGACCATTCGAGAGACCTGTGTGCAGAGACCAAGATGGGAAGCCCTTCCCCCAGGCCTGAGCACCCCCCACCACGGGAGCTCAGCATCCCTTCTTCACCTCCCACCCCACCCCAGGCGCAGCCAGGTGTTCCCACCTCCACCCCTTCCCCCAGGCCTGTCATCAAATACCCTCCTCCCTAAACTCTTCCTTGGCGAGCAGGATGTTCCCTGTGTTGAGCTCCCAGGTCCCCACAATAGCTGAGGCTCCATCTGCACTCAGGACTTGACCTTCCAGTTCCTCGCTGTCCTGTGTCCCCTCCCCCGGGCCTTTATGCCTCTGCCCTCGATCCCTGTTAAGTCCCAGCCACCAGGTCTTGAATCCTCTGTCCCCAGGCCCTGAGCATCCACCTTCTTACAGAAGCTGAAGGACCCCTCCACTCTCTTCCAACAGGCTTTCCCCGGGAAGATGAACTGGATGGCTGCGACATGCTGGGCTTTGCTGCTGAGCGTGGCCTTCCTCTGTGACAGCAGCACAGCCAAGGGTGGGCGTGGAGGGGCCAGAGGCAGCGCCCGTGGAGGGCTGCGCGGTGGTGCACGAGGGACTTCAAGGGTAAGGGTGAGGCCTGCACCTCGCTACAGTGCTGCAGGCTCATCCTTGCGAGTGGCTGCTGCAGGGGCAGCTGCAGGGGCGACTGCAGGTCTGGCGGCAGGCTCCGGCTGGAGAAGGGCCACGGGGCCGGGTGAACGCAGCCTGGAGTACGACGAGGACATAGTGCCCGGTGGCAACGGGACCAGCAGGGGCGTCTACAGCTACTGGACCTGGACTTCAGGCGTGGGTCCCACGCAGGCTATGCCCCTTGGCCTGCTGCTAGGCAGCGCCCTTGGCACCCTGGAGCTACAGCGGCCCTAGGTCCGGCTGGGCTAGGGGTCAGGCCCAGCCCCTAGCCTACACCATCCCTGCAGGCCCCTCAGGTCTATCTCAGAGCTTGGAGTGCCCCTTCTGCGGCCCATCCTCCTTGAGCCTTGAGGGCTACCTGGGTGATTCCCACCAGCGGGGACAGAAGCTGCAGCCTCTCCTACCTGTGTACACCTGGTCTACCTTCCCTCTCCAGCTTGTCTCAACCTCTTCATCTCCTACCCTAAAAGGGGTCCCAAGGCCCCACCCACCCAGAAAGGCAGGCAGCCTGTGGCACCATGCAGATTGCCAGAACCACCCACAGGGATGTACCAAGACCACATATTCAGGCCAGTCATGCCCACTGCCTGCACTGGGCATAATGGTGTGGACAATGCTGACCAATGGGCAGAGGCCACCCTGAGATGGGCCTGGTTCTGCCACTGAGGACTCATAGCCAAGGGCTGCCCACAGAAGCAGCCGGAATGGACCAAAGGATCTCAGGATTTGAGGAAAGAACACTCTCAGGCTGCAGTGTGAGAAATGTCAGGTGCTAACCAACTGCCCATCGCAAGTCCTAAGGATTTTATAGCTCAGGAACGTTCCAAACAGGAAAGCCATCCATCCCGGGAATACCTAACATGGTTCTCATGGCTCCCGGAACATGTCCTGTGAGGCCAAGGTAGCACGCCCCTCTTCTCGGCAGAGTCCTGGGAGACTTCTGCCAGGGAAAGGTCTCCTCCTTAGAGCCGCCTTGTTCTAAGATCACCCTACTCTTAGGACTAGGAGGGAGGGGGACATTCAAGAGCATTACATTCCTTTGAAATTTAGGTGCACATTTGAGAACTGCCAGTTGCCCCTAGAGAGCCCTCACTGTGCACAGGCCAAGCTAAAGGTTCCCCCCTTTCGGATGGGGCAGCAGCATCTCCCAGTGGTCAGATGTTACACTGGAAACAGCTAGACCTGGCTGAAGAGGAGGGGCCTAGATGAGCATGTACCAGTGGCAGCTAATGTTCTACTCAAAAAATTAATGAAGAGGCAACAGTTCATCGGACCCATGGCTACCTGTGGTCATCAAGGCTGGCTGCGCAAGCACAGCCAGGTGTGACAGCAAGCCTGTGTCCCTCCAAGACTACGTGGGTAGCCTGGCCACTCAGGGATATCCTGAGCTGCCACCGAGAGCAGCCTCAAGGACACTAGGCAGTCCTAAAAATGATTTGCCTTTAGCTCCCACACACCTCGTACATAAACTGGCTCACCAACAAAGTGCTTGTGAACCCAGCTCAGGGGGCTGCTGGATCTGTCAAGTTCTCTAGCTCTAATTACACAACCAGCTACCCAGGCTGGATTGACTTTTCCAGGCCTGGGTGCCCCTCAGTGCTCTGAGACCCTCACCTGCAGCTGGGCTACCGTGGGACCCATCCTTGTCCCCTGGACCAAGGAACATGGGTTTAACCAGTAGCACAGTGCTAAGATCAGCACGTTCCCTGCTGCCACATGGCCATGGATCACCCTACTGGTTAGGGTGCAGGCTTTGAGGCCTTTAGAAAAACAATGGCCAAGCTTTTAGGGTTAGGGGAGCAGTAAGTCACAAGACAGGGCTCCCTGCAGACTCTTGTCCACACTGCCACTGTTCTCAGGGCAAAACCAGCCTTGATGCTCTTCTGTCAAGACCAAGCTTGATGCCGCCAAGAAGACCAGCATGCAAAGGTCTAGCCGGATGCCGAGTGCTACTGTCCCACTGGCTAAGAGGTGCTGCCCACGCTGCAACCTTCAGAAGCTAAGCTGTGATCCAGCAGCTTGCCATGGAGTGGGGACCTTGGAGCACTACGGGGACATGCAGTCCCTCAGTTCCACTACTCCCAACCCCTTGTCCATGTTTGTGTACACATGTGACAGTGAAGTGATTGTGAAATAAACCCTCTACTGGCAGCAGGACTCTTGCTCATTGCAGGGTTACAGGGCAACTGAGTACCCCAATCCCTAATCTGCCCATCTCCAGCTCCCAATGGTGAGAGGAGCTTTAATACATGGGCCTAAGGTACTATGGGTACACAATGAAACAGCCAACAAGAAATGGAACTTTTAACTTTTTGTTTTTGTTTTAAAACAGGGTCTTGCTATGTAGTTCAGGCGAGCCTTGAATTCACTATGAAGCCCAGGCTTACCTCAAACTCCTGGCAATCCTTCTGCCTCAGCCTCCGGAGTGCTAGGATTATAGGTGTGCACCACCACACCTGGCTATTTTAAATTTACTTTTTAAAACCTAAGATTACAGCTCTGAAACAGCACTAGGTTTTCCCTGAAAGATACTGAGCAGAAGCCTTCTCAGAGGGCCAGGCACCAAGGACTGCTTGGCACCCCACAGCCTCGTCCCCATCACAGGGCTAACTGCAGTGGGCAGGACAGCATAGCATGCCCTCTGGAACAGGGATGTGAGTCAGGGTGAGCGGCATGGAACTCTTGGAAGGGTAGGTAGTCCCAACCTTCGAATGTTCTGGTTGTGTAACATCTGGAGGCCACACCCCTCCAATCAAGTTCAGGGGTCTGTGTCGGCAGGGAGACAGCCCTGCAAGATGTCACGGTCTAACATCATTGGGCCCAGCAGCCCACTTCGAAAGGTCCGGAGGAAGTCACAGGCTGCTGCAGAGTAGTTGGGCTGGACAACATTCACATCACCTACGGACAGGAGAGTCTGGTGAGGAAGCCACCTCCAAACAGATGGCCCAGCTCTTCGAGACCCTAAGGTGAGCATCAGTAAAACCTGAAGAATGGACATATTCAGAAGGAAATCCCTGTCATCCCATCAGAAGGCTGACAGCACTGGGCTACCTAGCCAGCCTAGGCAACTTAGACTTTATCTAAAAATAAAAAAGGTTTTAAAGGGCTGAGAGTGTAGTTTATTGGTAGAGCACTTGCCTAGCATGCACAAAGCCCTGGATTCAATACTCAGTACCTAAAAAAACAAAACAAAACAAAACAAAATAGACCATCATGTCTACCTAGCATTGCCAAGGTATGGGAAACAGGGCTAGTCTCACCCTCTAAATCATGAACTATTACTTCCTCCCTCTCTAGAAACTTCCATAGCTCCCCTTCTGAGCGCCAAACCCAGGACAGCCACCAGCACGTTCCCCTCCATGTCTCCTTTCTCCCTCCCTCCTCTAGGGGTGGCTGATGGGCCTACCATGGGACAGGGTGAGAGCCCCATGCGGCCCAATAGTGTCACTCACCTGTGCCCGTGAGCACCTTCACCTTGCGTGTCTTCTTCAGCCGCACAGCTATGCTCTTCAGCACACTCTCTATGTCATCACTAGCACCACTCAGGCCATAGTGCTGCACGTACCTGCACACAGCCCACGGGCCCCAGTCAAACTTCTGAGAGGCGGCATGCCTGGGACAGACTCCACCAATACACATCCGAGTGGCCAGCTACTGGAACTCCTGAAAGAGCCAGACTTTTTCCAAATAACTTAGTGTCCTTGTACCAAATCTCAAGGATCCTTAAGGAAGCCAGATGTGGTGGTGCATAACTATAATCCAGCACTCAGGAAGCCAAGGCAAGTAGATGGCTGCAACTTCGAGGCCAGCAGGGCTAAATATGGAGACCTTGTCTCAAAAAATCAGAAAGAAAAAAAAATTCTTACAGGAAAGAAAGAGACTCATCACTCAACAAGGTAAAATTCAAAAAGTGTGCACCTAATCCAAAACAAACAGGCCTGCAAAGCAGGAGAACAAAACAAAAAGAGAGCTGTATCCAATCCACAGATGTTAAAATGAACAGACCCAACATCAAATCAGCAATTGACAACCACATCTTACATGGTTACAGAGCTGAGACATGGATGATATGAAAAAATGTCTAAACCAACATTCTAGAGGTGAGAGCTCTAAGGAACAATGGGATGAGAAGATTAGACACTGTAAAGACCACTGACAGACTCAGACCAGGAAAGAGGAGTTGTGCACAAGGCTAACTGCCTGGCATCTGGGGACTCAAGCCATAGGGAATAGAGGGGGGCAGAAAAAACAGCAAAGAAATATGGTTTAGGTCCAGGGATTTAGCTCAGTGGTTCCTCTGCCTGCCTTGTGAGTGCAAGGACCCGAGTTCGAACCCCAGTACCAAAAAAAAGAAAAAGAAATATGGTTCAAAATCAGCCAAATGTGATAAAAACCACAAGGCCAAAGATTTAGGAAGCTCAACAAACTGCAAGTACGAGAAACATGAAGGACATCATGCCAAGGCCAGCATAACCAAAGTACTCAAAAGCAGTGATAAAACGAACACATTAAGAAGCAATCAGGGCCAGAGATTTAGCTCAGAGTTGCTACCACCAGTCTCACACCAAGGTCCTGAGTTCCGTCCCCAGGATCAAAAAAAAAGAAGCAGCAGCAATCAGCTGGGAATATAGTTCAGTGGCACTGTGCCTGCCTGGCTAGAACAAGGTCCTGAGTTCGTTTCTCAGTACAGGGTGGGGTTGGGGGGATTATGAAGACGGGAAAAGGACATGGGCAGAGGACTCCTCAGCAGAAGAAAGCCAGTGATAGGCTGAGCTGCACCTCTCCAGAACTGGAAACCTGTCAGTCCAGTATTTCAGAAGAAGGTGTAAAGACATTCAGACAACCAGGGGCTAAAATGAAAGGACCTATCACCAGCTGACACGATGCAACAGAGGTGAGAGGTCACAGTGGACCTGCATCATGACAGAGGTTAAGTGTCAGCAGTAAGTGAAGAGAAATGCAAGTTTGTGTGACATAAAGATTTGTACATGAGTTGTTCCCAGCAGCTTTATTTTTAATAGCCAAGGTCTGCCAACAACCCATTGTCCACCCACAGAGAAAAAGGATGAACAAACTGCCGTCTGTCTAAGCAATGAGTAACTACTCAGCAGTGACAAGGAATGAACCACCAATACACACAACAGTATGGATGCATCTCAAAGCAATTACACTTCGAGAGAAAAGCCAGATGAGAAGACATATGCCGTAGAATTCCTCTGATATGAAATTCTAAATGAAAACTCACACAGCAGGTAGCTGCCTGAGCATGAGGAGGAGCATGAAAGGGTAAGTACGACACAAGAGACAAAGTGATGGGAATGTCCATTTACTTGATTATATGAGTCTCAGATGCATTCACTGTCAAACTTAGCAGATGATATGTGTTTCACAGCATGTCGATTACTATGTTTCAATACCTTAATGCTATATTTACTAAGCCCTACTTGCTTAGGATGAGTGAGCAGGGACCCCAAACTCACTGCCACTCACTTGAACATCCGGTGCTGGTTGAGGATGTAGAGGAGGTAGTCAGCCATGGTCTCCTCCCCAACCAGGTGATCCAACACTGTTCCTAGAAGACAAGCAGCAGAGTTGAGCACATGAGACAGCTAGCATCTGCACCCCCAAGCATGCAACCCTCCCAGCCTTGGCCCAAAAACAACTGTCTTGTTAAGGAAACTCCCTGAAGGGTAGCGCTAGCCTGGCATTCCTCCTACCTGGCACATGCCTTGGCCATGTAGCCTGACCTCTCTGCCCACATCTGTCAAATATGGGAGCAAAGGTCACTTGCACAAGGCAGAGCTAGACCACCACACACATGCTGTGAGCCACGCTAGCTCCCTCACTAAGCTTTGAAAAGTGTCTGGCAGCAACCAGAACAAAGGCAGTAACAATTCTGATCTGCCTAAGGACCACACCCAGCTCAACAGGGGAGCCCTAAAGGTGAAACTTAGGGACACCCACCCCAGCCACAACTCACCACACAGAGCCAGCTTCAAGCCTATCTCCACATTTCCAATCTGAGGAGCCAGCACCCCAGGGGTGTCCAACAGGAACATCAATGGCCGCTCAGACACCTGTGCAAGCAGAAGACACCAGCAGATCCTGACAGCCACCCACCCAGCTGGCCTCAGGGCAGCTCCTCATACCAGGCTTCTGGCTGAATATGAGCCCTCCCCAGAAGCTCTAAGGCTGCCCCTGCAAACAAACCCACCCCCACAGAGTCATCATGTTCACCAAGCACTAGTACTGCTACAATTTAATCTGGAGACTAAAGAAAAGCACCAGGTCCTAGAGAGAACCAAAGGGAAAACATGGAGAGTAGGCTCCATTCAGCTGTCTGTCCCTAACGCTGGCATATGATGGGAAACATGGCACCTTCTCCACAGGTTTTTGTAACAACAGAGCAGTTCCTGACATGGGATCACCCGTGGGGAGAAGGCAAGAATGGCTGGAAGCAGGGGCCACTAGGGGGCTCGGCAGTGCCAGGCAAGGAGCTTGCACAGCTGTGGTGGAGCACAGACATGGCCACTGAGAATCTTACCTGAATTCTGGATGTCACAGCTCTGGTGATCCCAGGCTCACCACCCACTCTGGCAGCCTTTCCTGTAAGATAGAAATAGACCACCAGATGTTCATTAACACACGGCTATAAACACAAAACGAAACATACGGGTGTGACTAACACATCTGACAAAAGAAATGGAAATCTCCAAGGCTGTCTTCATCCCATGTTCAGCCCTGAATAGCTCAGGGCAGGGGCACTTTTCAAAAACTCAGGCAGAGGGTCCAAGGGGCTCAATAAATACCCAAACCTCACTCTCTAGCCCCTCGCTCCTGAACTCACCTGACTCTCAGCACTGCTCACAACAGGCCTGACCCACTGGGCCTGGGCTTTGAATGCTGTGGCTGCTCAGTGAAAGACCCAGCTAAAGGAGATTCCCTTTGAGATCCTCCATCCCACTCCCAAACCAAGTACAAAGTAAAGAGATAAAAGAGTCTGTCACACACACACAAACACACACACAAGAAGACTGTCACAGATGAAGAAGAGATGTACAGGTGCACAGAGGAATGTGACTCAGCATGAAAAAGGAATCCTGGTACAGCTCCAACGTGGGTGAACCTGAGGACTTTGCACTCAGTGAAATATGCCAATCCCGAATGACAAATATGATACATTTCCACTAAGTGACAGTGTTGGAGTGACCAAATTCAAAGACCAAAAGTAGAATGGGGGTTTCCAGAAGCTGGAGGAAGGAACAGGATCACCATCTATGCTTATAGAGTTACAGTCTGAAGTAATGAAAAAGTTGGGGAACAAACCCTGAGGACGGCGGCATAACACTGTACGGCACTTAATGCCACTGAATTTTAAAAATGCTGAGGTGTGGTTCAGCGGCAGAGCACTTATATACCATTCACAGCTCTGAACTGGATCCCCAGCACTGTATTTTAAAAATGACACTGTTGGACCAGGGATTTAGCTCAGTGGTTCCACTGCCTGCCTCATAAGCACAAGAACCTGAGTTCGATTCCCAATACCAAAAAAAAAAAAGACACAGTTAAAGGAAAATAAACTTTAAAAAACAGATGATTAAACTGAGCATGGTGACACACACCTATAATCCCACCACTCTAGGAGGCTAAGGCATAAGAATCACAAATTCAAGCCCAGCCTGGGTGATTAGCAAATCCTATCTCAAAATGAAGGAAAAAAAATTTTTTTAAAGGGCTGGGTATTCAGTGCAAAGGCCCTAGGTTCAATCCTCAATGCCACTTAAAAGAAAATAGACTATAACACTAACAATAATGATTCAACATGATTTAAAGCTCTCAGCCTTTACAATGTGAAGAGCTTTGTTAATAGACATTACACTACTAATATGAAAAAAAAGCAGCCAGGCATGGTGTGCGTCTATAATCCCAGTACTCAGGAGGCTTAGGCAGTAAGACTGCCATGAGTTCAAGGCCAGCCTGGGCTACATAGTGAGTTTGAGGCTAGCCTGAACTATACAGTAAGACCCTGCCTCAAAAAAACAAAAAAAAAGGAATACAGATTTGACATTAAACTTTGTAACGCATAATAAAAAGGGCCTACTGAGTGAGTGCTATGGGCCATGTCTTGAACTGAAACCTAAGAATAAACATACCAAAACAGTTCCAACACAAATAACCACCAGTTTAAGCCTGTAATCCCAGAACTCAGGCAGTGGAAGGACTCTGAGCTACACAGTAAATTCCAGGCCAGTCTGAACTACATAGCAAGGCTCTGTCTCAAAATAAAAAAAAAATTTTTTTTTTTTTCAGATTTCCTTTTTTTGGTACCAGGGATCAAACTCAGGACCTTGTGCTTTCGAGGCAGGCGGCAGAACCACTGTGCTAAATCCCCAGCCTTCAAAATAAAAATTTTAGCCTGTAATCCCAGCACTCGGGAGACTGAGGCGGGAGGATCTCTGTGAGTTCAAGACCAGCCTGGGCTACATAGTGAGTTCCAGGTCAGTCTCAACTACATAGTGAGACCCTGTCTCAAAAAACAAAACAAACAAATAAATAAATAAATATTTTAAAAAGAGCTGAGGATGTGAGCATGTGGCTCAGTGGAAAGTCACTTACCTAGCATGTGCAAGGCCCTGGATTCAATTCCCAGTACCACAAAAAAAAAAAGAAGAAGAAAGGAGAAGAGGGGAAGAAAGAGAAAGAAGAAAAAGGGAAGAAGGAAGGAATAAGTATAACCTGTATAAAGAATGCCAACTACATAGCCCGCAGTCACACCATCAACTGTCCTTTTGGCAGAGAAGAACATAAGAGATAGGACTGCATCAGAGAAAGAGAGCTGGCTTGTGCTCCTCAGTCCTATCTCCTCTGCCAAGGGCAGAGCTCAGCAGTCCAGCTTCAGGTATACCTGTCTTAAGGTGCTGTCTCCTCAGGGAGTTGATGAGGGAGGACTTGCCCACATTGGGAATACCAACCACCATGATACAGTACTCCATGTTCTGCAAAGGCAAGAGAAGAGCCTCAAACCCAAAGCTCAGGGAAAGGGGAGGTCAGGGCAGAAGTTCTGTCAACTGACAGGGCCGGCCCAACCCATCTCACAGGACAAACAGAGGACAAAGGATGAGCTTGCTGGGGCACAGCACCCTGTCTTCCGCACTGTGGCAGCCTTGGAAGAGTCAACAGGAGGGGCAGGTGACCCCAAAACACCCACCTCCCAGCTCTGGGCCCTACCAACCTCTGCTCGGTGGTAGCGATAGCTACTCCCAACTAGTTCAGTGATCTTTGGGATGATCTGCAACAAACCGGCCACACATTTTAGTCTAATCAACCCTCACCAACCCACTTCCTGCCATCTCCAAATACCAGGATCAAGTGTTTTGTTTCCCCTTCTACTCATCAGTTAAGAAAACAAAGACCTCAGATTTCACTCATGAGCTGATACAGAAGTGGCTCTCCATAATTTCTGAAGGCAATATACTTCAGCATCCAGTCCAAATGAACTATGGATGGCCAGAGCCTGTTCATCTATGGACAAGCAAGGTAGCTCCTCCAAGGTGCTTTTGAGACAGCTGTGATTATAACTACCTTCTACAAAAACGTATCAACCCATGAAGGTCTACCAAGTACAACGGGAATGGCCGGGTATGGTGGTGCACACCTGTAATCCCAGCAATTGGGAGGCTGAGGCAGGAGGACTGCTGTGAGTTCAAGGCCAACCTGAGCTACACAGTAAGACCCTGTCAAAAAAAAAAAAAAAAAAAAAAAAGGCTCTTACTATTTATCACTCCAGAGTGATTTTGTGCTCCTTCAAAATCTCAGGGGGCTAAGGATGTAGCTCAGCAGTGCAGCACCTACCTGGCAAACTCAAGGCCCTGGGTTTGAGTCCCAGTACCCAAAAAAAAAAAAAAAAAAAAATCATCTCAGGCTGTGAACATCAAGCGTAAGTAACAGCTTAATTCTAGAGGCCCTGCATTCCAGAGTAACAAAAGCCATTTTTAGGATGTTCTCCAAAACTCTGCTTTTTGTAAAACAATGTATATGAAGCAGAAACATCCCATATAAACAGAAAAGGGCCTACCTGTGTGATGTTTTCATCCTTTACACAGTTGGTAAAAATGATATTTTTTAGGCCTTCTCCTTCTAAGTGCTGCATAATTTTCTGAAAGACACATTCCCATTTAAAATACTAAATGAAAACACAAATGGTGTGAAATGATAAAACTTTGAAGATATGGGCTCAAAGGAAAACTCTGCCAGAAGCATTCACTCCTCAGAGCCAGCCAAGCTCCAGGAGCTGGGCAGCAAGGAGCAGACACCAGCACAAACAACAGGGAGTCCAGACTTTGAGGGCAGCCTGGCATCTCACTGACCTGAGGAGGAAGGAAAAACGCGAAAGGCATCAGAACAAGCACATAACAGGGATGTAGAGGCTTCTTGCTAGAAAGCACTGACATTTCTGTCGGGCCTGCATATACCAATGGGTAACTAAAAGCAGGACAAAAACTTGATATCTCTGAATTTATTTTGTATCTGTCTCCTTTGCTATTAAAGTTTGGGTCAGATTCCTGCTGACTGACCCATACGCACAGATACATTAATCATTTAAGAATGTCTGTCTAAAAACTGGTAATGCAAGGCCGATTAGTCTTTAATTTACCTAACTTCTACCCAGGTGACCCACCAGTCTGAGAAAACTAGTGTTGGTGTTGAAAAGACAGAAACAATTAATCACTGTTCAGACTCAGGTCTCAACAAGTAAAAGCACATGAAAGTGTTTGTAATGACAAATAACTATAACTGTAAATGCAGTGGAAACCACAAACATCATGTCTGACAGGCCTGCCTCATCCTGAACTGTGAGAGTGTTAAAATGATCAGCTCAGCAAACCTGCACAGCAGGTGAGCTATCCTTGGGAAAATACCTTCACTACCCTCCTGATAAAGAACTTTGGTATTTAAAGTTTCCTGAAAACCTGTGGTGGAGTCTAGTGCTTGCCTGGGGTTTAGGCAACTAGAATGTGCCTCTGTCAGCTAAGAAACCTGAAGGTATTATTCCTGCTAAACAAAGAAATTTCTCCAGTCTGATAGCAAAGCAAGAAGATCATAGATAACATCTCAAATAACATTTGCAGATTCCACATTTGTTTTATCTTTGGGCCACATGGGAAATACTCTCCCACACGTCACCTGTGCCTGATTCTGACTCTTGTGAAATCCTTTACCTACATTGAGACTTTCCCACTCCCAGCTGTTCCACTCCAGATCAGGGGGTGTGCAGAAAGCAGCCAGCAGGACAAAATAGGGTCAAACTGGACACCTGGGGAACTTCAGCCATCAGAGAAGACCTCTAGGCCAAACCAGCGCTGTGTGGGGCCGCAGGTGTTAGTCTCGCGCGGCTTTTCAAACTCAAACTAATTAAAGCTAAGTCAATGTGAAAGTCAGCTCCTCAGATGCAGTGGCCACATGTGACCAGACTAACCCTCATCTCAGAATGGCCACGGAATCAATCAGGCTCCAGTGGAACAGTGACCACTTCTCCCAGGAAATGTGGCCACTTTGAACATTTGGATCCCAAGTTCATGTGCAAGGGAAGCATGCCATGCCAAAACCAGGCTGGAAAACTCCCGTAGAACCAAGAGTTATTCCTGAAGTACAGGCTGGCTAGGGGAGTTAATACTGTGCTCTTCTCTGTCAGCAACTCCTGTTGTACTACTACAGGCATCTGTAGAGAAGGCCCTTACCTGCTTCTCTGTGAGATCTGCCAAGTCCATCTTGTTGAGGACAAGCAGGTGAGGCTTCAGTCCAAGGGTCTCCTGAAATAGAGGATTTCGACCTGAAAGTGGGATGTGGCAACATTAAGGCAAAATTTCTCCACATCTTTACCAATCAATTCACTTATTGTGGTCTTGTCAACACTGGTCAGGAGCTAAAGGCAGTGGAGGAAGTCTCATCTCAAAGTAAAAGCAGCCAGCCTAGCCCATCTTCCCACCTAAAAAGCTACAAAGCTGACTCAGATTCTGCCCTTCCCGTTAGGGAAATGTTGCACCTTCTTGCCACTGCCAGGGCAGGCAGTCAGACGGCTGTAGTGACTGTCACATGGCTTCCCAAAAAGGAATGCTGGCACTAAGAACAAAATCAAAGTTCAGAGAAGGCTTTTATAACTAAGTCATCAGTTACCAAGATATAGAAGTTTTAAATGAATTATATGGTTACTCAAGAAAAAGGGACTCCCATAAAGTTCTAACTAGAATACCTTAAAGTACTACTCGCCCTCTAAGACCACTAAGGACTCTTGGATACCCGTCACTGGGGGCCCAGCAGTTGCAACGACTGGTGGACAAGTCATTTTTCCCAATGGAACCTTCACAGAAGATGCTGCCTCCTTACTACTATCCTCCCCAAGGGGCCCCAGGACTGAATGTGGGTTCCCATCCCCTGTTACACTGACACAGCAGACAGGGGCTTATTTTACCTCCTGAGCCTTCAGCCCTCCTGGCTCTACAATAGTCCCAAAACATGCCCCGTCTAGGCATCCAGTTAGGCCATAATCTCCCACCCAAAGGTAACTAACCTCAGAGCTAACCAATCATGTATCAAATCTACAAGCCTTCAGACTCCTCTCCTAGCATGTTACAGAGGCCACTATCCAGCACAGGGCACTCTTTCTGCCTAGATTTGGCAGGACAGAATATTCCAGAAACCAACAGAGAAAACGACTCTTATCACACACTAAACCATAACTACAGATTTTATTTTTTTAATATTATACAATTGCCAACAAAAACTTTTGACCAGCATGAGATGTCAAATCAACAAATACATCTTTACGGTGTACAGAAAAGAACCTCTCAGTGACATTTTTTTTCCCTAAAATTCCAACAAGCCTTTGAAAATGGTCCCTTCTCCTATACCAATTCCAGATTCTTGGCAGTGGAAGGGCAGGAAAATTTAATCTCAGATTTCATATACTACCTGAGACTTGTATTGCCAGACCACACTAGAAAGCCTGGGGAAGCCAGGAAGAGGCTAGGACACAATGTTTCAATAGGAAGTGTTAAAAAAGCATGTGGAGTGTACATCTGGCCAGATTCTGTTCAAGTGTTTAAAAGCCTCCCTGGTAATTCTAAGGTATAATAAAGACTGCAGGCCACTGATCTGACATGTTACAGTGCTGCCTCTGTAAGCTCACTGGACTTAGACCAGGAATGTTTCCTGCTGGCTCCTGCTCATCCTACACCATCAAAGGATATGCGGGAGTCATGGACCTCGATGATACAGTCCACCAACTTCAGACTACTCTGCATCTTCTTCAGCCCTGGAAAACAGAAGGCCACTGAGGGACCAGCCCACAACTTTTCAGAAGGGCAAATTTAACCTGGCCGGTCAGGAATGGCACACCCCCAAAAGCAATCTAAAATACATCTGACTGAAGAACACTTAAGCCTTGCCAAAAGAGCAGCAGCATATTAAACCAGGTCCTAACATGATCCTGGATGACTGAGGAAACACTTCGTTTCCAGGGGTCTTGGTGTCTGCTAAAGAACAGTTAGGCCCTTGATACTGGGTGGACATGATGAGACAAGTATTGCCCTTATCCTCTCACCAGGTACATACACAAGAGCAGCACAGCTCTAGCTTCAGGGTTGCAACTGGCCCGCGCCATGGACCCCAGGTCAAGTTTGCCAGGGGTGGCAGCAATTGGATGCCCAGGGCCGCAGCATGCTAGCTGTCCTCTTGGAGCCAAATGTGGACGTATAATCAACTGAAAACCCCTACATATGCTGGGGAAGGACAAAAATGGATTAGAGAAATCTAAAGGCGCGGGAGGACAACAGCAAGAGACCCTGCGACGGTAGCTCCCACCGCTACTTTAACTGGCCCTAGAGTAGTAAAGGCAAGCAGCACCTGAGGCTGGGGAGGACGATGGGGACGGGGTCCCGACCTCGCCTCCCGCTAGACCTCACCCTTGGCCATGTGGCCTGGAAACCAGCGCGCCACGTCGCGGCCGTGTAGGGGAAAGGACTGGCGCCTGGAAGCCACAGCGGTACACAAGGAAACTGGAAACAGCCGCATGGCGCCGCGTCCCGAAAGCGTTCGGCAGCTCAGACTCTTTCGGTCACTTGATCCAGTTCGGGCGGTTCCGGCGCTCCACAACTACGCGCACAGCTGCGCGTGCGCACAACGCTGCCCCGAGGTGGGGCGGGGCCACCGGAGTGAGGCGGAGCCCCGGGTTGGCGATGTCTGTGTGGATGGGGCGGGACCAGAGCCAATCCGGACCTATGAGATCAATCCCTTTTCCGGGTCCCTAGGTTTTATGGAGTTTAAAAATAATTGGGGGGGGGGAGATTTAGCTCAGTGGTTCTGGTGCCTGCCTCCATAAGCGCAAGGGCCGAAGTTCGACCCCTGGTACCTAAATAAATAAATAAATACAAATAATTTGGAGATTTAATCAACATTTGTTAAATCTTAAGTCTTAAAAGTCTTGGGGCTGGGATGTAGCTTAGTAGTGTAACACTTTACTGTCATGAGGGTCTCACAGCCTTTTACTCCTCCCACAGGAAGAATATCGTGGGGGCTGTCTAGAAACAGAACTGTCTCCCAAACGAAACTCCGAAAGTCAACAGTAAAAATCCTGAATTCTTTCATAGCCTTAGTATCATAAATTAACAACAAAACCCTGTTGGATTTCTCCCACATATTGGCAGGTATTCCATCCCTGGCGACCAGTCTTGTAACACAAGGCATAAAGCACTCTACAGATCCCAGATAGATGGCATCAGCTTTTATACGAAAACACTAGGAGGCGGATGGGTCAGGCCGTGGAAAAGGCAACTGGAACCTAGATCTGAAGGATGAGAAGAAAGGAGACCAGCAAAGCCGGGCTGGATTGCTCAGCCAAGGTATAAGACTAGCACAGTTTTGGAAATGAATGTACCAGACTGGAAGCAACCCTCTGAGCCCCTTCCCTCCAGTATGAGGATCCAGAACCCAGAGCCTAGGCCCAGATGGGTTAAGAAGCAGACTATCCTGCAGCGCAGTGGCCAGTACAGTGGCCAGTGCCGTCCAGCAGCCCCACGGAGTACAGAGGTAGGATGCAGGCCTCTCTGGGCTCCCTCACCTCCCTTCGGAATGCCATCCTCCTGCTGCACCCACTTCCCTTCCATCCTCAGCATTCAAAGAGAAACATTTAAACTCTCATGGTAGCTGTGGCACTGGTCAATTACTAAGGCTAAGTGTTCTGTCTCATCTGCTGTGAAAATATTATAGAAAGCTAAGTTAGATAAGAGATTAACAGGCAGTTAGACAGGGATGGTTCCTTGAGGGTGCAGTGCAGAAGATGAAAACATCAAAATTGTGGCTGGGGGCACATCTGAAGAAGGACAAGCCTCAAAATAGAGACACAATGACCAGGTCTGCAAGCCACCCTAAGAAATAAATAGCAAATTGAGATTATACTGTAATTAGCAATACCTGGTCCAGAGTCCAGATAGGCATGAGAGACCTAGATGGGTGACCAGAACATCCAGACCCATCCTCCCGTCCCTTCCTGTCCGTTTCTAAAATAATCCCTTTGTTCTATGTTAAAAGTTATAGGTAAGCAAATGTTAATAATGATTGCCATTACCCTTGCTTCGTGCCTCACTTCCCTTTTGGATCAATATTACCTAAGTGGCTATACCTGTAATCCTGTAAGTTGACTGTAGTTTGACCCACGTTGTACCCAAATTGTGACTTTACTATATAAATTACCCCTGGCAAAGGGCCTCAGTGGCCAGCTCATTCAAGACGCCCCCTGGAAATCCAGGAGCTATTACTTTTTCCTTATTTCCAATAAAACTTTCCTAACTTCCTGTGGTTCTCAATTTTGTTCCTTGATGTTATGGGACATTTGACATCAAACAGGTTGGGAATTATATTTCTCCTGCATCAGAAATACCAATACCATCCAGCTCCCCACAGCTACCCTGCTCAACCTGTTTCCCCACAGTCTTTACTCTTTCCAGAAAATCTCAGGCCCCAGGTCAGGATGGAGTGCCCTATGCATCACTCACCTCAACTCTTCCCCTCTGTCCAGCCCACTGTGCAGTTGGCACCTAACAAAGTGTCAATGAGCAACGGGAGGTTTATATTCCATACTGTGGTCACAGACCTGAGCAATGCAAGCCAGGGGTGGCACCTCATGATGCCAGGAACAAGGGGCAGCTACAGGACTCGGGGCCCTGGGATCCCAGATAGAAGGGCCACATGCTGTCCGAGACATAGGGTCCCAGAATGAACTGAGGCAGGATGAAGACAAAGGCAATAGATGTAGGTACCCTGTGGTTAAGGACAACTCTGAACAGAAGGTGTTGGTAACTGCTTTATGTGCAAAGCATCACCACGAACAGCAGAATCGCATAACATCACACTCAGTCCAAGCTCAGTCCTGGCCCAGTGAGATGAGAAGGTGACCCAGTTACCCAAAAAGGACTGTCAGTGAGATTGCAAAATCTCAAGTGAGACTGAAAATCATCTGTTGAAGAGGAAGGTCCCAGCTTTCCATCCAGAAGAAGCACAGCCAATGGGAGCCAAACTTAAAGCCTGGAATGGGGCTGCTGCATCTTCAGGTCCCACAGACCGATGAGGCGGTCAGCCTCTCTCCAGCCAGACAGCAGGGCTCCATGTGTTGTGGAGTAAAATGTCCGATGCGTGGCTTCCCCTGCAAACAGTATCTGGAGCTGCAGAAAAACAGCAGGGTTAGAATAGGGATGTGACTGGGATAGCTAGCAGAGGAATATATAGGAAACAAAGCCCCACACACTCCCATGAACAAACGGGTAGGAAGACACTACTGCCTTTGATCATGACGGCATAAACGGTGCCTAGAGAAAAAGAGATTAGCCCGCTGCATTGTGAGTAATCTCACCAGAATTACTGAATCACCCCTGAGAAGGTCAGGGAGACTCCAGAGCCAAGGTGGACAGAAGAATAAAGAAATCTAGGGTTAGCTGGGGATTTATTTCAGTGGCAACTCGCCTGCCTCAAAAGTAAGAAAGTGCAAGGTCCCAAGTTCGATCCCTAGTACAGGGAAAAAAAAAAAAAAAAAAAAAAAAAAAAAAT